TCCTGGCAACTCCATGCGATTATAAGTGCAATTTATCTAAAGTCCACACAGTGATTAACATGCTGAACAGCACCTGAAAGACAGCAGCTGACTATCAAGGGTTGGCAAGGCACAGGGTATGGCTGTGGATACAACTGGCGGGATGAATATTAAAATACTCATATAAAAGTCTTACATTATTTAGAACTATGAACTATTTTGAACACTTCTGAAATACCATTTTAGATGAGGGGATGAAAACTGACTCATTTCTAATTTTTTTGCAAAAAGAAGTTGAACAAAATAGAGTTGCAGGAAGGAAAGTTAGAAAAATCCCAAATATACAAGATGGCCTGCAAGCATGAATCTTAAAATAATAGCAATGGTCACATAAACACACCTATTAAACCTTTCTGCTTATTTTTATATTGACTCAGCAAGTGCTCAACCATGATCTTGTTTTCAATACACCCTTTCACTATAATTATTTCTGTATAATTCAGTCTTCCTCCCTACAGAGAAAACTTTATGAAAGTTACAGCAAGATCCAGGTCACTTCATGGTGCTGTTCAATCCTTGCACCTTGCAAGCAAATTCCAGGGCTTTGCTGTTCACCTCTTTCCAATGCACACAGAGCCCTGGTGACATGTAACCTGCCACCAATTAAGGCAGCCGAGCTGATTTAAATATTAATGATTTAATGAGTGCTCAGTGTTCTGGTCAGTGCTTCCCACAGAATTAGTGGGCAGGGTGCCAACACAGAAGTCCAGCCTCTGCTCACACACAACTGATAATTACCTTAAAAAGCAGCAGAGTTACAGGCAGGAAAGATGGGCCCGCGGCTTTTTTTTGAGGTATCAATAAATTATCTAAAAAAACCTCCATGAATTAGAGCATTCCAGATGCTCTTTTGTAAAATACAAGGATGTCTTCTGTCCCACTGCAACAGAGTCACAATTCTGGAGTAAGAAAGGAAAAAGGTTCTGCTTCTGAGAAGTTGTAGCCTTTGCCCATAAGATGGGGAAGAGGCTGAAGCTCATTTAACTGCCCCAATTTCCCCTCCCAAAAATCAATGTCTATGTAATAATAATAATAATAATAATAATAAACACATATAACGCCAATTTAAAAATAATTATTAGCATTATTACTGTTAAGTTAAATGATGGTTAACAGATCTGGTTTTCCTATCACAGAAACAATGGATATAATGGCACTGATAACCCAGCCACTATCAGCACTGCTCTTGCTTTGTTCCTTTCCTGTGTGATGTTACTTAACAATTCCCATCTGTCCCTGGCTAAAGCCTGGCACTGTGCAATGCCTGATCGTTGTGTGGTACAGCAGCTTTTTAAATGCTAATCAAAAACTGCTCTGCACAGAGCTCTCCTGCTCCAGAGCCAAGGTGTCCAATTCCCTCCACTACCTGACTACTGCGAGAGAAAAAATACCATCATCCAAAAATCCAAGTGGCGTGATTTTCCTCCTTCTTTTCCTTCCTGGAAATTTGGTACTACCTGAATTCAGTGGGATTTGTCTTTTTAAAACGGCACAGTATAAAAGATAAAAAATAGTGATAGTCAAAAATGGTTCATTTTATCTCAGAGTAAGAATTATCAAATAGCAGGGTATCAACGGACCTAGTAGAATGGCAATCTTAAAGAAAAACACGACACTACCAACAAACTAGACATTTTAAAAACAGAGGCATCCCCTCTATTCAGGCACAGGTTTTTGAATTTCTATAAATATCTGATGCAATTAAAAAAACCCTGGAAAAGGCAGTGCTACTCTCTGATTAAAAAAAGGAAATGAGATAAAAGAATGGAAATAATTTATAAGCCTTACCAGAAACTCGTTGAGAACAGTGGCCAAATATCAGATAAAAGTACGTTGTTCCGTATCTTACAAAATGGTGTTTTAATTTATGATTTCCTTTTTGGGACAAAATTGAAAGAGCTCAGGAACAGCGACGGAAAAGTAAATTCTCTTGGAAGTCAAGGCTGACTTCACTGTTCAGAGAAATGCTTTAACCACTCTAAGTTAAGATCAGAAAACCTGTTGTAGTTTGTGTCGGAACAGTTCAAAGAAAACCCCCAAATCAACAAAACCCAGAATATTTTTTCCAGTATTTTATTACATAAAAAGTTGATTGTCCATTGGAAATTTTTCACAAAGTGCAACATCCTGTGTAGCATCACTGAAAATTTAAAAGTAGCTCAGGAAAGTTAGTTATAGCACTAGAACAGAGAAACCACTATGCTGGGAGGAGAAAGGCAGCAGATGTTCTGCTGTCATGAAAACAGATGACTTTCCACGTACCTCTGTATAAAACCGAAAAAAAAAAGGGAATAGTAAGAGCTATCACTACCAACCTATTGGTTGAAATTAGTTTTAAAGGAGGTATCTGAATGTCCTGTATGTGGAACCAAAAAAATCTGTTATTGAAAGCCTGATAAGCCTCCAAGGGAGACTCCATCTTCAGAGGTACTCATAGAACATTCCTGGTCTTATGTGGCTTTTGGAGGATATTTATTTTGATATATATATTCATGTGTGTGATAGGGTTTGGGATGCTCAAATCACCACCAAACATAACACTGTCCCAGGAGAAGTGCAACTGTCTCAAAGACTACCAGTTTTAAAAGGCAATTCAAGATTTTCTTGAGTAATGAATGGTGACAGCAGAGAAAGATTGGCTGAGGTAAAGCAGCTCCTGCCAGACTGCCATATTACACTTACTGGCATATTTCAGTATTTGTTTACTGTAAAGCATGGAAAAGGGAGAAGAAAAATGGAAGAGTAAAAGAAACTTATTTTGTGAAGGCAGCATTTTGTGTTTTACATCAGAAAGCAACTGCCAAGTCAACACACAGATTAAAAACCTAAAGAAAAAAACCAACCAAGAAAACCCCAAACACTTTGAAATTTGATTAAGCTATGTGGCACAAGACATACCTGCATTTGGCATGGGCAACTGACTTGGAAACAACCAACCAGCCAACCAAAAAAAAGTCAATTGGCTGGTTCAATTTCAACAAAGCTCCTTTTAACTGCAAAGGGAAAGACCCAATCTACTGTAAATGTAGATTTATGAAAGACTGAAGTATCTGTACTCATAAGCTGGGCTATAGCTATAGTGTAGCAATTGTTTCTCTAACAATCTCAAACCCAACCAGATCAAAAAGGAACTATTAGGAGGAATACAAAACTGCACTTCCATGTCTTTCTGATAAAAATCTGAATTGTCACCTTTATACCGTAACTTCGAAAAGCAAAAACTCTTTTATATTTCATTTTTATAGTTTCATGTGACCTCTGTTCTTCCCTTGAGATGAGAAGCAATATTGTTTACAAATTGTTTACAAAGGGTGGTGCTAACCTAGAATATGTGACCAAATGATAAATTAGTTATGCACAAGAATTGGACTGCACATCTCAACTGTCCAAGTATCTACTGAGACTCTTCTCAACTCCACTGCACATCTGCATTAGAACAGAATATAAAAAGTAACAGTTAATCCTGAAGAAACAAATTTTAATTTTCCACTCAAACAGGTACAGGCCTGTTTAATGAAGTGTAGCCGCAAAGGTTTCTTTAATCTAAAGTCATACAAATATAATTAAAATTAAATGAAATGAATCAACTGGAACCTTCATCAACATTATTTAGTCCTTACATACAGAAAATAAAGATGAGTTAGTCTGCCTCTTGAATACATAACCAAATACAGATCTATTTAAAAGGTTTTACTACTCTTCAAGACAGTACGTTTAGTGACATCTTTTATTTTAGAACAAGGACTCAGTCACAGTTTCATACTTTTGATACCGAAGTAGTCCACAAGATTAACCATTATGGTTCAATTAGGACCTTTTATCCAAAACACTTGGATTTTAGCACCTTAAAGAAAAATTAACACCATACCAGGATTGAAGACAGTTGATACTGTGCTCATCCTCTGCAAAATGAGTGGACCACACTACTCGGTGCCTTTAGTCCCTAACTGGTAGTAAGGCAGAAGGGAAACAATTATAAGCTGAGTAATAAAAAAATCTCCCCAATTATACAAAGTATTGGCTTCCGTATGTCCAGCTTCATAGTATTCGAATCAAATGGTCATTTACAATCACCCCATCAGTCAGAAATCTGTACCAAGAAAAAACCCCACCAAAATCTAACCAGATCAGCATCAGTGAGGCATCTAACTCAAAATTTAACTTTGTGCTGTAACTAGCGCTTTTTCAAATATTTAAACAAACCATTAAGTCAGTAAACCAAATTAACTTCAGAGTTAAAGCTTTTTCTTCCAGCTCACTGCATGAATAATAGGGCACACAGAACAGCTGCTTCCACAGGCACAGTCCTTTAGCAGCAGGAGCAACCTGAATGCCCTGGATTCGTCTTCACTTTTCAGCCTGACATGGGAACTGCAGGTGCTGCAATTCCCTCACTTCTGAAGGGCACAGTGTCCCTCCTGTACAGATCTGGAGTGCATTAGCAGAGTTCCTACCTCGTGTCCATCACACTCCTAAGCACTGCCACAGATTTCCTGGGACACAATGGATTGAGTTTATTTTAAAGATACAGGCAGTCTAACCAAACATGTCCTAAACCCTAAAATTTCAGGCATCTTTGGCCACTATTCTTTGCAAATTCGGACAGTTTTGTGCCAACTGTGTCTATCAAACCATTTTCCAAGTGAATCTTTTCACACTTGGCTCTCTGACTGTGAATTCATGATTTGCACACCCAAGATGGACACAGCTACTACAGATGAACATCAGTGTATTCTGAAACCATAATTCTTTTCCGTTTAAATTAAATTTGTGATGTTAGACACACAGATTCGTATGCTAGTTTTAAACAACAGAAGCATAAAAAATTTACAAACTAAAGCAGTCAATTGCTGACATGAAGCATTACCTTTCCTGTAACTAAACAAATGGCCAACAGCAATGAGTAAACTGGTGAATTTCAACATAAATTTAAGCTTCAGTAGTCTCTGCTTCCTTCCTCCCCAAAGGCCAGGACTCCTCAGCAGATTCCCTTCAAGGAGCAGCAGAGCAGGACTCAGTCTGGGCACCGTGGCTGTCATAGCTCCTCTCTCTGCTTGGTTGCTCGGTTGTCCTCTTTGACGCCGTTAGATTTCTTCTCTGCGTCTTTTTTCTTCTTTGCTTTTTCAGGTTTTGTTTTGTTTTTCACTTTCTCACTTCCATCTGCTCCTTTGCCAGGATAAACCTGACCTTCCAGAGTAACATCTGCACACCTTTCCTGATTTATCAGGAAGTCTTTGATCTCCCAGGCGTAGCCACCATCCCGCAGCATGAAAATGGCCCGATTGGAGCCAACAATAAACCTAGAGGAAAAATATATATTTTTTTCAGTTAAATCTGTGCTTCTCAAACATTTCAGCATTTGCTCAGAGAGCCTCCAGGACTGAGGCATATGTCTAAGAGCAAGAAGCTGGTCTAGTTGTTGCCTGGGGATGGGGACAAGAGAACAATCTTCTAGGACACTTGAGAATAAAACATATGAAGTATATCAATAAGTAACCAAGGAAGTAAGAATAAGGAAATAAATTTAGAACTAACTTGGCACTATGCAAAATCCACTAATGAGCACTGAATTTGCTTTATATACTTAGTGCAACCCTTCTCAGCCACAATACAAGAGCACAACATTCTTCTTTTTCAAAATGATGCTGTCTCAGAGAGAAAAAGAGTTACATTTTTAGCAGAGGAACAAAAAGTCTTTTGTGGTGACAAGTCTTCAGAGTCTGATGTTTTCCATCAAGCACATACAACTGATAAACGGCTGAACCATAGTGAGATAAAAAGAATCTCGGCTACACACACACACATAGTGCGTAAGCATTGAAGAGGTTTCTGCACACAAGAAGTTTTGTCACAACAGACAAAGAAACAGAAATAGTAATGGATAACAGAGGTGGAGAACAGCAAAAGATGAACAGTTAAAAAGGTTTTCAGGAAGAAAGAAAGGGTTCTGCAAAGGCAACAACTTTATTCTTGTGCACAACAGCTCACCTCTGCACGTCGTAGTTTGCGTTGAAGAGGCTGCCCTGCCACAGGCTGGTGATTTCTTCTGTCTCCTTTTCTGTGGGATCTCCCGACACTGTGACAAACATCATCAAAGTCTTCCCCTTCTTTGTCAGCTTCAGGATGCTTTCAGGTTTGCCTGGATCTATTTTTGAAAAATCTATTGGTGCTGGAGGCCTCTTGTGTTCAGGGAGATCTCCCTCTTCAATGTCATCATCTTTCTGTTTTGAAAAGGACAAGGAAGCTTTAAACTCAACTGTTCCACAAACATATTTTCGGTAATTTTTTTTTCTAATTTCTCTTTAGATAATAACTCTGCTTTGATAAAGTATTTTTTAGCTGAATGATGGAGATTGTGAAACCAAAAGAAATAGTGACTGTTGTTTCAAGATACTTCACCAAGAGTGCTCTTTCCATTTATAACTCTCCCCTGAAAATGATGCACATTTTCATATTGACAGGTGGAATCTCATTTTATCATATGCTGAGAAATACTTCAGCCTTAAGGCTAATTCAATACAGTTCCACCTACAAAACTCATAAAACAGTTTCCTTTTTTGTCACAGTTTCACAAATATTTATTATGCATGCGAGATGAAATGGGAAAGTTGCAATAAAAAGCCTCATACACACATGTATGAAAAAACATTCAACTGATATTGCTTTCAGAGGTCAAAACTCACTTCTGGAAATCATGTGATTGCTTGAGAATTAAATTTAAGGATTTGTGTCTTTAAACAAACCCACTAGAATTCAGATTTTCTGTGTGCTTTTGCCACAGAAAGACTTTGATTAAAGGTTTCATGACTTTCTCAATGCACAGATGCACAGCCTGACAACATAATCACCCAGAGTAAATTACTCTCACAAAAAAGAAAAAAATTAACCTCTTAATGCCTCTGCTGAGGCTGACAGCCATTTAAATATTTGGAAAGGTACAATCAGACTGCTGCCCCTTAAAACAGCTCACAACTGTGAGCTGAATATGGTGACAATTTACATTAAGCCAAAACCTGATTTCTATAACAGTATTTGTATCATAGAATTAAAAAGTAAAAAAACAGAACAAAAACGCCCAGAAGTCTTATACTGGCATCCACCCAAGCACCACTAAATGAGCAGGAATTAAGGCAGATATTTTAGATGTTGTCGTGACTTCAGAATGCGTTGCTCCATTGGCAACATGAACGGTAGCAGCAGATAGAGACAGAGACATTCTCCTGCAGGGGCCTCAAAGGTCAGGAGCCAAGCTTGATTTCTAGATCTCAGAATGCATCACCCTCACGTCTCTGCACCCTCACGTCTCTGCACATGCTTATACACAAACCCAGCAGCATCCTCCTACACACCCATGGAGCATCCCACGCTCCTCAAAGGCTAAGGTTTCTTACAAGTGACCCATGTTCTTTCCCCAGCTCATTTCTGCACTTTCTTGTCTTTCTGGCAAGAGTTTAAAGTTTAGGGACCGCAGAACAGAAGCTGTAGGAGCTTTAGATTTTATCCTTCCTTTCCTTACTAATTATGTCTTTGTTACAATTTCGCAAGTCTGAAACACACTTTCCAGGAGCTCACACACCTTGAAATTTCTGGAATGAGTGACCTGAGAGGCAAGGAGAGCACAAGGAAAGTCCCTGCTGTCACTAAGTGGGAACATCACTTATCTTATAGAAAGCTGGAAAATGGCCAAACTGGTAAAGCACAGTGAAAATACGAAATCTCATGTGATTGACTGAAAAACATTCTCCACAATTAAAAGCAAATTGAAGCTTAAGTCTGGTTTGACTAGAGCAAAACCAAGTTATTTCAGTTTGGAAAGAAAATGACAGAAAGAAACATTTCTAAATACTCTGTATGAAATATAGAAACCGACTTTGGATTTAGTGACATGAGCTACTAACATGTATTACCTGTTTTTTTCCTCAGCTATTCAACTGAATACTCCTGAAATTGTATTCTTACAGTTTGAATGGGAGTATTATCAGAAGATGCCAAGAGCTCCCTTAGATGGCATTTATTTTCTTATTTTCTGTACAAAATGTCATACGGCTCTGCTTAAAGCTATCTAAAAGGTAAAAAAGTAAAGGAAAAGTGTAAGTTTTTGCTTTGAAAAGTTTAGCAGACTGTCCTGGATTAGGGCAAATCTGGGAGGAAACTTCCAAAGGGGTCCCTCTAGAAAGCAGATTCAAATGGCCCTTCCTCCAGCTGGTTTGGGAAAAGATTTCCCTGGAGGATATTGGAAAAAACCTGTTTATTTAACAGGCAAAGTATTCACAAGCATAAGGAATGGATAATATTAACAATAAAACCTCTCGCTGTTCTGAAGAGATGGCAAATTCAGAGAGTCCTTGTTGTGGGCTGTAGCTCCTTGCTCAGTCTCTATGAATCCCTCCTGCTGGAAAATTCCACGTCCCAGCCCTGGTGGGCCACAGGTGTGAGTTCCAGGTGTTTTCTGGGTTTTCAGCCCAGAGCAGGTTTGCACAGTTCCAAGAAAAAGAAAAGCCACAGTCTGGGGAACTTCTCTGCCTCAGCTAGCTAAAAACTAACAAAAAAGCAAAGTAGAGTAGAACTCTCCCGCTGTCCGTGCTGCAAACACAGTCCGGGAGCAGGACAGCTGAAGCTCTTATCTCTGTGTTTGAAAACAGCCACCTCAGACATTCCACCGCTTCTCCTTCTCCCCCACTTTACTCCCAGATCTAGTTTTAAAGGTTATTTCTGAGCTAAACAGACAAATGGGGATACAATTCACGCCAGGACACAGACTCACTCACTTATACAGCAACATGAGGTTCCAGAGAGAAAGCATTACATAGACACAGGAAAAACTGCATATTCCTTCACTTGGTCCTCCTCTCAGCTCCCATTCTCATAAATGCCCTGCATTTTGATTTTTAAAAACATTAGTTACATATGCCACTTAACTGCTTTGCCTATTCAATGATCAGAGTCAAGTGTGAGAAACCCTGAGCTTGTAACAGTAATGAACTATTAAAAGCATCTGACATTTCAGTAATTAAGATTCTCAGTTCTGAGTCCAGCTCCCCAGGACTCCAGGCTTCAGGAGAATCCCCTTCCATCAGGAAAATCCCCTGGTGGCTTCCTCCAACCTCTAGCTGTGCAACAGAACTGCTGAAGCAGCTCTGCCTCTGCCCTGCTGCCTATCCTTGTTTTCCACCAGATCACTCTCCTGGATCACCAGGCAATCATGCACATGGTGCAAGGGGCAGCACGAGATCTGCACAGAGAGATCTTGAGATTTTCCTGCTGGGAAAGCTGCTGGAGTCACAGCCTGAGGCTTGTGGCCAAACCCAAGCATGTCATAACCACCATCCTCCGATGGTTTTAGACCAATTGCCAGGGAAATAAAAAATATCTGGAGTAATTTAATTCAGTTGAAAGTACTGACATTTGATTCTGTACAGATCTATGCCCTGTGGCCCTCATTCCCAAGCACAGTTCCTGCTCTTTCCCAACACCACAGTGGCCCTTTTATTTCTCATCCCACTCCATCAAGTGCACTCAAGCCCCTTCTTCTCCTCCAGCCACCACCCTCTCAAGCCTTTCATGCTCCCTGTGTGTCCTGACTCCCACCAGGCAAAATGCCCTGCAGCTGACATCCCAGGAGACCAAACCACCCCCAATTGCTGAGCCCTGCCTCAGGCCCTGCTCTGCTCTGTGTGCCTCTCCTCAGGGACACCCCTAGCCCCAGCAGGGACTCCCCAGCTGCTCTGACACATCTGCATTTGTGCACCACACCGTGACCTGGATCAGGGACCTGCTCCAGCTGAAAAGGAAAAACCCTCAACAGCCTCCTGACCTGCCCACTAGGGCTGGAGCAGAATATACAGTCAAGAGTTACGCCAGCATTAACTTCAGCCTCCCTTTCAGCCAGTTCATTCAGAAGAGATGCTCATCTTTTAAGATTTTTTTCCTACAAGGCCAAATTTGGTTCAAAATGGGCAATATTAAACCTTGATTCTTTTAGCTGGGCCTGCTGGGCCCTTAGCTGATAGCACTAACAGAAAAGTGACTCTTGAGCCTTTTACTAATTTTATTTCAAATGTTAACTACATATTCTAAGAACCTCCCTTCCTAAAGGGATATATGCAGTAACAATCCATGGGATGAACAAGTCCATAACCTGCCAACCAGGACCAAGGCAGGCATCCATACTTCCTGTTACTTCATCTGTAATTCACATATAAAACACACTTCTCCACCTTAACTTACAGCTGCAACTGGTGTTACACAAAACAGGAATCTTCTATTATTTCCTTCAGGGTTTTTTGCAAAATGTCCCAGGGAAAAACCTCACGGGAAAGACTAAATGACAATGAGGAGTGCTCTGGCTTTTATCAGAAGATGATGGACCATAACACAGTGAAAAGAACCTAACAGTGGCATGACAAGCACATGGAGAAGGGAGTGATGGGAAACCGCCAAGGAAAGTTAAGGCTGCGGGCTGATAAGGATGAAGGCGACGAGAGAGAGCTGGAATTAGAAGTTGTTACTATGAGGAAAGATAGGAAAGACACACCAAATCAAAACAACGACGTATCTACCATGTAAACGTGAAATTATTATTCCTCCTGGTATCCACCCCTCGGTCACATAACGTGTATCGCTCAATACTTCGAAAAAAACAGACTTTTCAGCCAGACGAGGCTGCTGGCAGGCACCAGGGTGCTGGGGCTCTGGGAAGGCGGCACTGGGCCAGCGGAGCAGGGCAGACTGCGGGCCACTCGCCGCAACTCTGAAAACCCCACACACGGAGCCAGAGCCTCGGAGGAAGGAACACGGCACCGGCCACCCTCCACCAGGCTGGGGGATGCCCCCCGCCCGGTCCGACCCGGCCCGGGGATCTCCCGTCTTGCTGGGGCCGGGCAGAGCGGCCGCTGCCCCGCGGAGCTGCCCCGGCCCGGCCCGGCCCGGCCCCGCCGCCCCCCGGCAGCCGCGGCGCTCCCTCCGCGTGGTGCGGGCAGACGCCGCCGGCCCCGCCGCCTCCCGCACCTCCCACTGCTCCAGCAGCCGGGCCATGTCCGCGTCGTTGTAGTCCCGAATGTCCTTCTTCTTGGGCGGCCCCTCCCGCCGCTTCCCCTCGGAGCCGCCGGTCGCGGCCGTCGCGCTCACACACAGCGCCAGGGCCAGCAGCGCCCAGCCCGCGGCCGCCGCCATCTTCTACCGCTGAGGGGAAGGCGGC